TAGTCACTGCCTTTGATCGGCTCTCCGCCCAAGTCAATTACCTGGTACAGGAAAGACAAAGCATTCCTTTTTACTTAAAAAAAACCAAACAAGTAAAAGACATTGCCCTAGACATTGTTTTAAGGAACATGCACTACTTGAGCTAAGTGTATTATTTGGCTTACTTGCAAAACTGTATTTAAAGCTATTTTCTTCATTTTATCTCAGTCTAGCTGTGAACTTGTTTTCTGTGTCCATTCTAAATCTCCTTACCTTGATTGATTACTAGCGCATAATTAAGGATTGGCCATACCAACTTTATATTTAATCCAGTCACCAATGTCTCTGCTTCCAGCACATGGGCAACCTCATTTCACTGTGTAGCTAAAGAATGTTTCACTATTTGCCCTAGACATTGCAAGCAACATACTGATTTAATAAATGTGTCTTTTAAAGACTTTAGCTTTTACTAAGTGAAACCAACAATTACCTGCTGCTTAGGTCTTGTTTAGGATTCGTTATTCAAACATAAAACACAAATTCAGAATGTCCAATGGTTATGCCACTGGAAAACAATGTTTCAGATTGCAATCACCATTTTTGTCTTCTGTTGCAATTTGAAATTCAGGGAGTGAAATATCTTTTTTTAAAACCAATAGAATTTTCACACTAACTTCAATGCAGTAAATTTCATCTCAAGTGAAATTTCCAGGTTACCTAGCTCCAGAAGGTCCAAAACAACTAGGGCATTTTCCATGTCAATTGTCATTTGTGGACGGATTAGGTATTTGGAAATTATGGTTACTAAACCTCAATGATGATTTCTATAATCTTGAGTCTGAAAGCTGCTTGGGCCCAGCTCAAGCAAAGCATCGCTTCCAGTGTAGCACTGAGTCTACACTGTGCCTGCAAGAAATGTTTTTAAAGTACAATTAAAAACCATAAAGATTACCTCCTGGTAAATGAAAGGTTTCATTCCTGCAGAAAACCATTTAGTATTTAGATTTTTCAGCTTGTCTAAAATCGCCTTCACATCCCCAGGCCACATATGCTTGGCAGCATCAATTCGGAAGCCTGCTACACCAATATCAATGAGGTAGTTCATGTATTCAGCAACTTTTGAGCGTACATAGTCTTTCTCCAGGGCCAGATCAAGAAGGCTAACCAAGCGGCAGTCTCGGACCTACATAAAAATTCTGAAATGAAACATTTTTCACCTAATAAACTAAACATATTTTTCTACACATATTTTGAATTTGATTACCTACATTACAATGACAAATTAAATTTTCACTAGCCATTGTTCACCATGCATATCTTTGCTTTGGACAGTTATCTTGGACAGTCATCTACACAGAAGGAGCATTAAGAAGTCGGCATTCACCTGGCTTACGCAGCTGTAGGTGCTGAAGGATTACAACAGAGAGTCAAACCATTAAATCTATAATCAGCTTTTTAATGCAAGTATAAGGCAAAAATATGATAAATTATTTTTACTCCAGCATATTAAGGAACAGATTCATTACCGTTTCAAGTGTACTCATTTCGTCTCTGATGTAGAAAAGATTTCTAGAAATTATATTTCTAAAGCTTTTAAAAATCTTGAGTTATTATAGCCTTATAAAACATTAAACTCTTGTTTTCTGTCCCCTTTTTACCTTTGTTTCCTGTAAATATAAAATTACAGGCATCAATTTTAATCAAAAGAGTACTTTAAACATACACTGAATATACTGAAATGCTTTTTTTAAATAACTCTTGAGATGGGTTTCCATAGCTATGCACATCTGCCTGGAGAGAGCAAGGTACATCAGCCTACGTCGCAAACTGTACTAAACAATTGGCTATAAAGATGCTCCTTTAGAACTGCTCAAGAATTTGGGGACATTTAAAGTCTCCCCTTCTGCCATTTCTCCAAAACCCATCTCCCCTGAACTTGGATTCAGAAAAGATCAAATGCATTTAAAAGGCATAAGACATTATTCAAGAAAGATAGGTATTTATCTTTATAAAATAATTTTTCATTTTGTGGTAGTTTTAAAGTCTTGACCTCATAATCTGATATGAAGGAACAGATAGACTCCCAGGAAGAGAAATCTCTAAACAGAAGGTTGATTTTAAAGATTTTAGTATTGCTATTTTTCTTTAAGAAATCCTAATCTCTCTTTTCTGAAATTGAGACAAAAGAAAACTTCCAAATAACAATAAAAGGCAAATAATGACTCTTACTTTTTTCCTAAAGCACAACCCCCCACCAAGACAATCCCTAAAGAGATTTTATATAAAGTACCTAAAGCACACTTGCCTAAATCTGAAATTGAGCCATTGGCTCAATGAGCTATCCCTTTAAGAAAAGGTGTTCCTCTTAGCCACATTAACCTCTACTATCAATTTAGATGATTTTCCATGAGGATTTTTGTTTTATTTTTTAAAAATGTCTGGAAGTAAAGGGAAGCAAAGAAACCACAGCCCAGGAATTGATGTACATGAAAAATATAGTTCTAGATTTACCTGAGATATATCATGGTAATTCTCAATGTCTCCACTTCTAGATTTACATTTACCATCATTAAAGTCCCAGCCAGAATATGGCACAGCTGGAAAATCTTCGGTCTTTGCATTGAAATAGCTTCCACAAGTAGCATGGTCGCCAGCACCAGCATTAGCTCCGCACATATGGTTGATTACTGCATCCACATAAATATGTACCTAGAGAATAGCATTCATATTTGAATTTCAGAAAGCTACTTCCCACGGCACCACTAATTAACATTCCCTCTCTCTTACCTCCTGCCCCATCACTGTATTTCTGCTTGCTTGCTTTCCCCAACATTTTATTTAAAATATTTCTCGTTTATTAACACATAGCAATGGCGATAAGACATAAATTTCAACAGATAGGCAGAAAACATTGCACCCATTTTAAAACAGGGTAGAAAGGAGAACCCTGGGAACTACTGACCTGTCAGCCTCATCTCTGTGCCTGGGAAGGTCATGGAACAGATCCTCCTAGAAGCTATGCTAAGGCACATGGAGGACAGGGAGGTGATTTGAGACAGCCAGCATGGCTTCGGCAAGGGCAAGCCCTGCCTGACCAACCTAGTGGCCCTCTATGATGGAGTGACCACATCAGTGGACAAGGGAAGAGCTACCGTTGTTGTCTACCTGGACTTCTGTAAAGCCTTTGACATGGCCCTCCACGACATCCTTCTCTTTAAATTGAGGAGAAATGGACTTGGTGGGTAGACTGTTTGATGAGTAGGGAATTGGTTGGATGGTTGCATCCAGATGGTAGTGGTCAATGGCTCTATATCCAGATGGAGATCTGTGACAAGTGGTGTCCCTCAGGGGCCTGTGTTGGGACCAGTACTCTTTAATATCTTCATCAGTGACACAAACAATGGGATTGAGGGCACCCTCAGCAAGTTTGCAGATGACACCAAGCAGAGTAGTGTGGTTGACACACCTGAGGGACAGGATGCCATCCAGAGGGACGTGGACAAACCCGAGAAGTGGGCCTGTGTGAACCTCATGAGGTTCAACAAGGCCAAGTGCAGGGTGCTGCACCTGGGTTGGGGCAACCCCCAGTAACAGTACAGGCTGAGGGATGAAGGGATGAAGAGCAGCCCTGCTGAGAAACACTTGGGGGTACTGGTGGACAAAAAGCTGGACATGAGCCAGCAATGTGCACTTGCAGCCCAGAAGGCCAACCGTCTCCTGGGCTGCATCAAAAGCAGCGTGGCCAGCAGGTTGAGGGAGGTGATTCTGCCCCTCTACTCCGCTCTGGTGAGACCCCACCTGCAGTCCTGCATCCAGCTGTGGAGCCCTGAGCACAGGAAAGACATGGACCTATTGGAGAGGGTCCAGAGGAGGGCCACAAAAATGCTCGGAGGGATAGAACACCTCTCCTATGAGGACAGGCTGAGAGAGTCAGCGTTGTTCAGCGTGGACAAGACTCTGGGGAGACCTTATTGCAGCCTTCCAGTACTTAAAGGGGGCCTATAAGAAAGATGAGGACAGACTTTTTAGCAGGACCTGTAGCGATAGGACAAGGGGTAACGGTTTTAATCTAAAAGAGGGTAGATTTAGACTAGATCTAGTGAAGAAATTTTTCCCAATGAGGGTGGTGAAACACTGGCACAGGTTGTCCAGAGAGGTAGTAGATGCCCCATCCCTGGAAACATTCAAGATCAGGTTGGACAGGGCTCTGAGCAACCTGGTCTAGTTGAAGATGTCCCTGCTCACTGCAGGGGCTAGGACTAGATGGCCTTAAAAGGTTCCTTCCAAGCCAAATTGTTCTATGATTCTATGAAAAAAAAAAACAACACCAACAAACCAAACCATCTTCACTTCAGTGCTACCATGTCTTCCCTTCTCGATTACCACTTGTCTGTATCCTTGCACTGCTAACACTAGAAGGTTTTCAAAGCACTTACTCCAACATTGTTGCACCTGGTCACCATATCTCTAAATTCAGTTTCGTTCCCAGATCGTGTGCACAGCTTGTAGCTGATGGGCTGGTATCTTTCCCACCATGGTTGCCAGGGGTCAGTAATGATAACATTTTCATTTGGAGGTGAAATCTGTGAATAAAATGGTGCCTCTTCGTAACAGGATACTGATAATGGTTTATTTGTTTGCCCAGTATTGTTAGTGAAAGAACATAAAAATAGAAAATCAGATCCCTTTAATGGAAGACGCTTACAATACCTAACCCATGTAGATCCTCAGTATTCTCTACTTACATTGTAGTGGGCTGGAAATAGAAGACTTAGGCCTGGACCTTCAGCGGGTAGAAATACATTATAAAAATTATGTCCATGGACATTGTTTCCTAACTATCTTCGTGAATGCATGCCTCAAAGATGAAAAGAAGTTTCTGAAATCTAAAGGATTAGGTCAGTAAAGATAGCCCTGAATCAGGAAGGAACTGACTGCAGAACAACTGACCTTAAAATTGATCTGACTTCCCATTTTTGTTATGTTTTGGATAAAAGCGTTCCTAACACAAGACTTGTCACAGTTTCCAGACAAGGTATACCTCTTCCCTGTATAGATTCTTTCCTGGATACTTTTCAGGCAACAGACTTTTGCTGCTACCTCCAAGTCCCTGGGCATAACCACCTGATCCCACCACTTCTCACAAAGATCCCTGGGCTGCAGCCTTCTTAGCTGGCCTTTGTGACTAGCTCAGCAAGTCTGCATCTGAAAAAACTTTCTGAGACCCTGTCACAGTATGGATTAAAAAGATATCCAAGTGTATCCCATAGTCTGAGAAATCAGTTTAAAATCAATCAGGCCTGTGCGCCTGGAAAGAAGGTTGCAAAGAAAAGATGTATTACTTGAAAATTATGGGAAAGTTCTCACTCAGGCCAGCTTGCAAACTCCTGGGCTACAAGATACAGGCAGACTTCCCTCGCCAATTTTTGCTGAACAATCTCACAGACAGACTGAAATGGTTTAATAGGTGACTGCTCTCCAGCCGAACTACCCCACCCATCCAACACTACTGGTTCCACAGAAACACATGTCTGTTGTTCAGACGGAACAGATTCACATCGACACACCTCCACCAGAACCTGGTGCAGTTCATTTCTGCTTGCTCACACCAGGTTCCTGGAAAGAAGCGTCACTTAATGGCTTAGTCTGACACTACACTTCACAGCGAGGAACTTGCCAGTTTCGGTGAACACATCTGGCAGCCTTTTATATTTACTTATTTAAAACCTTCAGCACTTTGATATTCTCTTTGGGGGCCCTTTTTTCAGTCATAGTTTCATTTTATGTTTATCTAGCTCTTAAGAGCTTCCCTTGATTTAAATAATATCAAGCAGGTAAACATAGGTTACTCTTCACAGCAGTAAAAAAAAGATTTAGCCAGTGATATGCAATTCTAATTCATCTAAATGTAATAGCACAGAGTGCAAAACATGCACTTTGGAGCAATGAAATAAATTCACGCTTACATGATGATGGCTGAAGAATGTATTTGTCAGCATTTACTACTTCCATTACCAATTTCTATTTTTCTTTCCCAGTACCTATCCTTTGGTGAATTGAACATTTTCTCTGAAAAAAAAATTATCATCTGTGTAGCAATTTTACTACCTACTGATAGGAACAGACATACCTGAACTCCTCCAAATCCATTAGGAGCTAAATAGCGTTCACACTCAAGAGCAATATCAGCCCAGCGCCATTCAAAGAGATGTACAATAGACGTCCTCCGAGTGAGAGTATTAGGGTTGTACTGTGCCCAGCAAAATCCTACAATTAGCAGAAGAAAACAGATACCCATCCTGTGGTCTGCGATCAGTTGTGCTCTTCTTACTGCCTATTTATGTTCCTGCAAGAGGGTAAAGTACACGTTACAAAATACACATTTAAAAGTAAATGCCCATCTCTGGCATCATATTTATTTAACTTTACTTGATTGTAATTTTGTTTGAGAATTGGAATCTATCTAAGCTATATCAACCTCCCATACTAACGGTAACTTTGTTTTTCTTAAGTTAAAGGAGATTCCTGGGTGCTGTCATAGGGGACACCAAACACTTCAGTGAAGGTTAAAATATGAACACAAGGTTTCCTTCAGGTTTGCCACATGAGAGAGACCTGCACCCTTCCCTGATTTAATACCCATTTGGGAATGCACTGCTGAAAACTCCAACCTGCTATGATACAGGTACCCAAACAAAAGTTTACATGAAATCTTACATGATTTCTACAAAACAACCCTCATTTTTATTTCAGGGAAAGGATGATCCACATCTCTCAGTCAGTGGAGCTATGCTCTTTGGAGCAAATTCAAGCACAAAATACGTCAGTTTATGAAGTGCAACCTGCCTTCCAGAGCTTGTTGCTATAAGCTGTCACCGTACTTCACAGGCAGGCAGTGTTGTTTAGAATGACTCATTTGCTAAATTTAGCTTGTTTTTCTGCTTGCGAACAAAATAATTTAAATGAAATTATTTACTTGCAGATATTCGGTAGAGTATACAGGTAAATTTCAGCTGTAAGCAGTTGTTCTGCGTGCTTCCATTTTTATGAAAGAATGTTTCTTTGCCCTGATAGGAAGAACGGACATTAACAGACAACAAACTAAGAAAGTTTGATCTTCTCCGATCAGAGAAGCAATTTATCAGATTGGCAATCTTTACTTACAGCAGTAAGTACACAATGCAGTAAACTACACAAAGCAGTAAGAATAATATATTTTGACCAAACCAGCTCCAGGGCGTAGTGCTTGAAGAGAAGACTCAATGTAGTTTTGCATTTCTTTGAAATAGGTTTACTGCTGCTCTGGCTTCAGTACAAGCACTGGTAAAAGAATAGGGATGTTGAAATCCCCAACACACTCTGAAGGCTCTAGCTTCAAAATGCTTCTGAAACTTGGGAAAAAAGTAAGAGGCCTATATTTCTCTATAGAAGAAAAGAGAGCACAACTGATTGCAATCCAAACAACATGGGAGAGAATAGCTTCTGAAGAACGCTATTGCTGTCTTGGACAACGTGAGAACTCAGGTCAGCTTGTCTTCTGATGCATTAAAGTCTGCGGTATGAAACTCAGCTATCTCCAAAATACTAGCAACAATATCCACATTTGCGATGCAGGCCTGCAGTAGCTTCAGGTGTTAAAGGATGTTACAGGAAAGTAGTTTCCATGTGAACTCGTAGTTGCTTCCCACAGAACTTGCCTCAGCAGCTGCACGTTTCATACAGACAAAGCAACTCCGCACTAGAGACGTGGCACTGCCCCTTACGAACCCCTCGTCAGGAGCAGCTCTACCGACCACAAACCCCGCCAGGCCTCTTCGGCGCATACAGGAGGTAACACACCGAAAGCAAGAAGCAGGCTCAACACGTACGTTTTGGGGCTAGCCGGTGTCATTATCAGCGGACT